CTTGCTTTCATTCACCACCCCCTTCTTCTTGAACATCCACCTACCCAAGAGGCATCTTAGCAGTAACTTTGAATTATTTTTCAATGTTATTTTTTTATGAGAAGAATACATTTATTGAGAGAAAAAAAAATCTCCTGTCCAAGAGAGGGACAGGAGGGGGGCCCAAGAGGGCAGTTCCCCATGAATGTTATTGATTTTTTAAAATTAATTTTATTGAGAAATAAATAGCCATGAGACAGCTTGTCCTGCTACAATGTTGTAAATTTTGGGTACAATTTTTCTGATCATAAAATTTTCAAGTACAATTAGGGAAATTAGGAAATCACTATTAACACAAGAGGAAATATCACCCATAGGCCGTGGAGATGGCTCAGTGGAATAAGCGCTTCCCAGGCAAGCGCAAGGGCCTGAGTTCAATCCCCGATTCTGCCAGAAAGAAAAATAAGATAAATGGAAATATCACCCATAATAACACGTCCTGACATCATAGTCCTATATATAGCAAGAAATTTACTGCTAGAATTTTCTGTATATTGCAAAGATTTAATAGGTACCCATGTTAGCATATTTTCCTTTTGTTTTTGATTTCTAGGTACAATTGCTCACATAAACTGGCTACCAGAGTATCATTCAACACCCATGTACACAGTAGGCCTTGAGTTATTCAGAGTAATGTCATTTTCTTCTTTTTCTTCCATGTTTGGAGCCTGTGAATTTTTCTAGTCTCAATGCTTATAAAATAGGTAATAGCTTTCTGTGTAGTATACCCACCCCCCTGTGCTGTGGAACATCAGAATGTTTTGCATCTCTATTTTAGTAATTGTTATCCAACCTTCCTTTGCCTACCTCCAGCCTTGTTCCCACATCTGGAAATCAATATCTTACATGTTCTGGTTCATGTTTTTGAGTCTCTACATTTGAGAGAATAAATAGAGATAACATATTATATTACATGGTAATCACCTGTGGTTTGTATCACTTAATACAGTGACCTCTAGTTCCATGTATTTGGGGAGGGTGTGAAGGAAAGGACAATGATGTATACATGCTGTAACATATGTGGTACAAAATTTATGAAAATTATCAAAAGTCCAATTTTGAATTTTATTATATATATATATATATATATATAATTCCTATAATCTTGAAAGTTAAATTCTATAACCATTGTCGATAAATTTCAACTGAAATTATCATATGCTTATGGAGATGATTCCATAGTTTTAGTACACAAAGTATTATTCTCCAAAGTTATTAGCTCTAATGATTATTCCATCATACTGATGTTCCAGTGAAATTTTTCATTTAGTGTTTTGATTCTAGGGAGTGAGTTGCATTTCTTTTGTGTATACTATGTCTTATAAGAGTATTTTTGAAATATAAATAAAAGCTAAAAGAGTCAAGATAAGTTTTGAGGTTTCTATTTGTAAAGAGATTTGGGAAGAAGCAGAATAACCCATCAAATCTTAGAGCAACAACAAGGCAGTCTTTGGGCCTGTATGATTTTCCATGTTCATTGATCTTTCTTTCTTTACAGAATAAACATTTGTTTCTAGAGTTCTTGTTACTCACAGTGAATGCATGGAGAATAAGAGAAATGTGACCGAGTTCATTTTAATTGGTCTCGCCCAGAACCCCAGAATGCAGAAACTAGTGTTTGTGGCCTTCCTTGTTCTATACATGGTGACCCTCTCCGGCAACTTGCTCATCATTGTCACCATCTTCAGCAACCAGGCTCTGAGCTCACCCATGTATTTCTTCCTGAGCCACCTTTCCTTGATAGACACAATTTATTCTTCTTCTTCAGCTCCAAAGCTGATTGTGGACTCACTTCACGAGAAGAAATCCATCTCCTTTCATGGTTGTATGGCTCAGGTCTATGCAGAGCACATTTTTGGTGGTACTGAAATCATCCTACTGACAGTGATGGCCTATGATCGCTACGTGGCCATCTGCAAACCTCTGCACTACGTGACCATCATGAGCCGCAAGCTGTGCATTCTGCTTGTGGGAGTGGCCTGGACTGGAGGATTTCTGCATGCAACTATTCAGATCCTGTTTACCGTGTGGCTGCCCTTCTGTGGCCCCAATGTCATAGACCACTTTATGTGTGACTTGTACCCTTTGTTGAAACTTGTGTGCATGGACACTCACACCCTTGGTCTGTTTGTTGCTGCCAACAGTGGGTTTATCTGTCTGTTAAACTTCCTCCTCTTGATGGTGTCTTATGTGGTCATCCTCCGCTCCCTGAAGCACTATAGCTTGGACGGGAGGAGTAAAGCCCTCTCCACTTGTGTGTCTCACATTACGGTTGTTGTGTTATCGCTTGTGCCTTGCATATTTGTGTACCTGCGCCCAGTGACCATTCTGCCCATTGATAAAGCCGTTGCTGTCTTTTACACTGTGGTGTCACCTATGCTAAACCCTTTAATTTACACTCTCAGAAATGCTGAGGTAAAGAGTGCAATAGGGAAGCTCTGGAGGAGAAAAGTGACTTCAGGGACTAGTTAACTGGGAGCTTTGAACATTAATAAAAGATGAGAAGGATGAAATCTAGTCTTACATTCTTTAGCAATAGACAAAGACATCATTTGGAGTAAGGAGTTATGTAATACCTTCAAGTTGCTAATTAAGCACTAGACTGCAAACTAATACTAATAAAGAAAGCAAATAATTATCATCTCCTGTTCTTTTCTTCCCAAAATACTGTTTCTTGATGACTCAATATTGATAAATTAAGTGAAAAATTAAAACATACCCAGAAGCTAAAATTTATGAATCTTTAATATTGTATTGATGTTATAACAGGCTTTTTGTTCAACATTGAGAAGTTTTTATTACTGATGATTGAACATAACTTACATAGTGATATTCTTTTACCAGATACTGTGGCAGCCACATAAATTATTTCTTGTATATTTATATTTCATCAAGAATTGGGTGAAATGTAAGAAGTGATCATGTTTACCTAATGTGTATGAAACTGCCATTGTACCAGAATCAAATGAGGATCATACAACTTTCCTGAGTTGAACAGGGAATGTTTGAGTGCAGCTCTCATCATCATTAATTAGATCAGATTATTCATGATAATGCTGTGCAGAATGCTGCAGTATTGAAGGATGTGTACATTGGGAATCTCACTGCCTGGGGTGATGGTGGGGTAGAAGGAAGGCTCACTGCACAAAGAAGCATGGCTCTGATTGGTAGATAGGCTTGATGGAGAGTGTTGAAAAAACACCATGCCATAGTGCACACTGGCAGAGGTGGGACATTGATAGACAGGATACTCGTGCTTGTCTATGAAGATGTCACTGAAATTCAGGGAGAAGCAATCCATGAAGGTGTCAGAGAAAATCAAAGGCAATGTGCACCATTCAATTTTTTGACACACCTCCAGGCATACATATCATGATACAGACCACATAGTCAATGCAGGTGAAGAGAGTTACTTTAAGTCAGAAAGAAGCACTATTCACTGTGGTATGGTGACAAAGATGAATGTCATGACAGATCGAGGGCAGAGGAGAAATGCTGACAAGACCCATTCATTAATAAGGACCACTCACTGAACTATGCACTTGGCACTGAGAAGCCATGAGGTCGTTACTGATATGAATATTTCAAATTTAATTTTTACAGCAGGATGATCAAGCTCAGTATAGTGCGATTCAATCCCATTCTACGTTAGTAGTATCATTGTGATACACCTCGAGATAAGGAACATTATCTTGCACTCTACTGATTTTTCTTGCACAGTTCTAATTAAAATTTGTATTTATGAATAGTACTTAGTTTTAGGATATTTTTTACATTGTAAAGCAAAAAATGAAAGATGCCCAACTGTTGAAAGATACAGTATAGTGTAGCACAGATACTAGCTATATACTGGTATCTTCATCATTTCAATGAAGACCCAAAATATAAGCAATTTCTTCTTGGTAGTTTTTCTTTCTTTCTTCCTTCCTTCCTTCCTTCCTTCCTTCCTTCCTTCCTTCCTTTCTTTCTTTCTTTCTTTCTTTCTTTCTTTCTTTCTTTCTTTCTTTCTTTCTTTCTTTCTTTCGAGGAATGCTACTAACTTATGTGATATGTGATAGATGTTTTCAGGTTAACAGCGCAGTAGCTAAACAGGCAGAAGGAAGAAGAGAAAGGGGCTTTATTTTCTTTGAGAACATGGGAAAGAATGTGGGGAAGGATGAGGAATTTTTTCTGTTGACTAGACAAAGGGAGGCTGAGGCTTTTACGGCCTTTTCCTAGGGGTGGCGTTTGGAGGGGGTGTTTAAATATACCTGAGGGAGCTGACTGGGGGTCTTTCCTGAGGTGGTGGGAAGGGAGAAAGTAAATTATGTCCTGGGGTAAGTTAGAGAAGAATGGGGAGGTCGTTCTGGGAGCACAGGCCTTTGTTTTAAGAACATCGGCCATATTAGATGACCACCACAGTGATGTTAGCAATTCATACCAGGGCCAGAACCCACCATTCCTGTCTTTTGGTTGTTATGGAAAGGGGCATTGAATGTCTTAGACTGCTTCCTGCTGAATGGGGCTGTCATCTTGAGGGTGAGGGCAGTTGACAGGGTGATGGTTTACGCCCACGTAGAAGTTACTGTCAGGTGTCTCAGGACTAGAAGCTTTTCATTAGTGATTGCTATCATGGGAGAACTTGTAAAAGTTTAAAAAGACAGCATGTTATGAATATATATCATCATGATTAAAGGACAAGTGAGAGGAAGCAAGGGGGGTCTATGATCTGAATGTTATTTTATCATGACTATGTTGAAGAGGAGGAGTATCCATCTTGAGTTTGTTATATCAATGTTAGGAAAGAGAGGTGAATTTATCACTAAGGATAAACTTCTAGCCCTATTTGAGACACCTAACTTCTACATGGGCATGAGCCTTCTTCCTATCAACTCTGCTTACCCCCAAGAAGTCATCCTAGTTCAGCAGGAAGCAGTTTAAGAGACACATCGTCCCTTTTCCCCCCATAATTTTATTGATAAACAAATAGCAATGAGATAGTTTCAAATCAAATTGATAGGACAGTTTCAATAATTAACACATTGCATACATTCTTCTTAGTGGTTAATTGCTGTACAAGATGTGGACATGATATCCTATTTATAAACACTATTAGAACAAATCACTCTATGAATTAAGAGAATGCAACTATATATCTATCCTAACCAATTTGAATACACAGATACAAAATGGACATACATCTGTATACCCTTTTTTTTGTTAAGTTCCGTTATTTGAATATTATAGGTGTGTAAACTCAGCAAAATATTCTAAAAGAGTCCAGTATCCCGTAATAGTATTGGTCTTCT